AACTGGGCTGTGTGCCAATGAGATAAATGGGTTGTGTGCCAATGGAATGAACTGGGCTGTGTGCCAATGAGATAAATGGGTTGTGTGCCAATGGAATGAACTGGGCTGTGTGCCAATGAGATAAATGGGTTGTGTGCCAATGGAATGAACTGGGCTGTGTGCCAATGAGATAAATGGGTTGTGTGCCAATGGAATGAACTGGGCTGTGTGCCAATGAGATAAATGGGTTGTGTGCCAATGGAATGAACTGGGCTGTGTGCCAATGAGATAAATGGGTTGTGTGCCAATGGAATGAACTGGGCTGTGTGCCAATGAGATAAATGGGTTGTGTGCCAATGGAATGAACTGGGCTGTGTGCCAATGAGATAAATGGGTTGTGTGCCAATGGAATGAACTGGGCTGTGTGCCAATGAGATAAATGGGTTGTGTGCCAATGGAATGAACTGGGCTGTGTGCCAATGAGATAAATGGGTTGTGTGCCAATGGAATGAACTGGGCTGTGTGCCAATGAGATAAATGGGTTGTGTGCCAATGGAATGAACTGGGCTGTGTGCCAATGAGATAAATGGGTTGTGTGCCAATGGAATGAACTGGGCTGTGTGCCAATGAGATAAATGGGTTGTGTGCCAATGGAATGAACTGGGCTGTGTGCCAATGAGATAAATGGGTTGTGTGCCAATGGAATGAACTGGGCTGTGTGCCAATGAGATAAATGGGTTGTGTGCCAATGGAATGAACTGGGCTGTGTGCCAATGAGATAAATGGGTTGTGTGCCAATGGAATGAACTGGGCTGTGTGCCAATGAGATAAATGGGTTGTGTGCCAATGGAATGAACTGGGCTGTGTGCCAATGAGATAAATGGGTTGTGTGCCAATGGAATGAACTGGGCTGTGTGCCAATGAGATAAATGGGTTGTGTGCCAATGGAATGAACTGGGCTGTGTGCCAATGAGATAAATGGGTTGTGTGCCAATGGAATGAACTGGGCTGTGTGCCAATGAGATAAATGGGTTGTGTGCCAATGGAATGAACTGGGCTGTGTGCCAATGAGATAAATGGGTTGTGTGCCAATGGAATGAACTGGGCTGTGTGCCAATGAGATAAATGGGTTGTGTGCCAATGGAATGAACTGGGCTGTGTGCCAATGAGATAAATGGGTTGTGTGCCAATGGAATGAACTGGGCTGTGTGCCAATGAGATAAATGGGTTGTGTGCCAATGGAATGAACTGGGCTGTGTGCCAATGAGATAAATGGGTTGTGTGCCAATGGAATGAACTGGGCTGTGTGCCAATGAGATAAATGGGTTGTGTGCCAATGGAATGAACTGGGCTGTGTGCCAATGAGATAAATGGGTTGTGTGCCAATGGAATGAACTGGGCTGTGTGCCAATGAGATAAATGGGTTGTGTGCCAATGGAATGAACTGGGCTGTGTGCCAATGAGATAAATGGGTTGTGTGCCAATGGAATGAACTGGGCTGTGTGCCAATGAGATAAATGGGTTGTGTGCCAATGGAATGAACTGGGCTGTGTGCCAATGAGATAAATGGGTTGTGTGCCAATGGAATGAACTGGGCTGTGTGCCAATGAGATAAATGGGTTGTGTGCCAATGGAATGAACTGGGCTGTGTGCCAATGAGATAAATGGGTTGTGTGCCAATGGAATGAACTGGGCTGTGTGCCAATGAGATAAATGGGTTGTGTGCCAATGGAATGAACTGGGCTGTGTGCCAATGAGATAAATGGGTTGTGTGCCAATGGAATGAACTGGGCTGTGTGCCAATGAGATAAATGGGTTGTGTGCCAATGGAATGAACTGGGCTGTGTGCCAATGAGATAAATGGGTTGTGTGCCAATGGAATGAACTGGGCTGTGTGCCAATGAGATAAATGGGTTGTGTGCCAATGGAATGAACTGGGCTGTGTGCCAATGAGATAAATGGGTTGTGTGCCAATGGAATGAACTGGGCTGTGTGCCAATGAGATAAATGGGTTGTGTGCCAATGGAATGAACTGGGCTGTGTGCCAATGAGATAAATGGGTTGTGTGCCAATGGAATGAACTGGGCTGTGTGCCAATGAGATAAATGGGTTGTGTGCCAATGGAATGAACTGGGCTGTGTGCCAATGAGATAAATGGGTTGTGTGCCAATGGAATGAACTGGGCTGTGTGCCAATGAGATAAATGGGTTGTGTGCCAATGGAATGAACTGGGCTGTGTGCCAATGAGATAAATGGGTTGTGTGCCAATGGAATGAACTGGGCTGTGTGCCAATGAGATAAATGGGTTGTGTGCCAATGGAATGAACTGGGCTGTGTGCCAATGAGATAAATGGGTTGTGTGCCAATGGAATGAACTGGGCTGTGTGCCAATGAGATAAATGGGTTGTGTGCCAATGGAATGAACTGGGCTGTGTGCCAATGAGATAAATGGGTTGTGTGCCAATGGAATGAACTGGGCTGTGTGCCAATGAGATAAATGGGTTGTGTGCCAATGGAATGAACTGGGCTGTGTGCCAATGAGATAAATGGGTTGTGTGCCAATGGAATGAACTGGGCTGTGTGCCAATGAGATAAATGGGTTGTGTGCCAATGGAATGAACTGGGCTGTGTGCCAATGAGATAAATGGGTTGTGTGCCAATGGAATGAACTGGGCTGTGTGCCAATGAGATAAATGGGTTGTGTGCCAATGGAATGAACTGGGCTGTGTGCCAATGAGATAAATGGGTTGTGTGCCAATGGAATGAACTGGGCTGTGTGCCAATGAGATAAATGGGTTGTGTGCCAATGGAATGAACTGGGCTGTGTGCCAATGAGATAAATGGGTTGTGTGCCAATGGAATGAACTGGGCTGTGTGCCAATGAGATAAATGGGTTGTGTGCCAATGGAATGAACTGGGCTGTGTGCCAATGAGATAAATGGGTTGTGTGCCAATGGAATGAACTGGGCTGTGTGCCAATGAGATAAATGGGTTGTGTGCCAATGGAATGAACTGGGCTGTGTGCCAATGAGATAAATGGGTTGTGTGCCAATGGAATGAACTGGGCTGTGTGCCAATGAGATAAATGGGTTGTGTGCCAATGGAATGAACTGGGCTGTGTGCCAATGAGATAAATGGGTTGTGTGCCAATGGAATGAACTGGGCTGTGTGCCAATGAGATAAATGGGTTGTGTGCCAATGGAATGAACTGGGCTGTGTGCCAATGAGATAAATGGGTTGTGTGCCAATGGAATGAACTGGGCTGTGTGCCAATGAGATAAATGGGTTGTGTGCCAATGGAATGAACTGGGCTGTGTGCCAATGAGATAAATGGGTTGTGTGCCAATGGAATGAACTGGGCTGTGTGCCAATGAGATAAATGGGTTGTGTGCCAATGGAATGAACTGGGCTGTGTGCCAATGAGATAAATGGGTTGTGTGCCAATGGAATGAACTGGGCTGTGTGCCAATGAGATAAATGGGTTGTGTGCCAATGGAATGAACTGGGCTGTGTGCCAATGAGATAAATGGGTTGTGTGCCAATGGAATGAACTGGGCTGTGTGCCAATGAGATAAATGGGTTGTGTGCCAATGGAATGAACTGGGCTGTGTGCCAATGAGATAAATGGGTTGTGTGCCAATGGAATGAACTGGGCTGTGTGCCAATGAGATAAATGGGTTGTGTGCCAATGGAATGAACTGGGCTGTGTGCCAATGAGATAAATGGGTTGTGTGCCAATGGAATGAACTGGGCTGTGTGCCAATGAGATAAATGGGTTGTGTGCCAATGGAATGAACTGGGCTGTGTGCCAATGAGATAAATGGGTTGTGTGCCAATGGAATGAACTGGGCTGTGTGCCAATGAGATAAATGGGTTGTGTGCCAATGGAATGAACTGGGCTGTGTGCCAATGAGATAAATGGGTTGTGTGCCAATGGAATGAACTGGGCTGTGTGCCAATGAGATAAATGGGTTGTGTGCCAATGGAATGAACTGGGCTGTGTGCCAATGAGATAAATGGGTTGTGTGCCAATGGAATGAACTGGGCTGTGTGCCAATGAGATAAATGGGTTGTGTGCCAATGGAATGAACTGGGCTGTGTGCCAATGAGATAAATGGGTTGTGTGCCAATGGAATGAACTGGGCTGTGTGCCAATGAGATAAATGGGTTGTGTGCCAATGGAATGAACTGGGCTGTGTGCCAATGAGATAAATGGGTTGTGTGCCAATGGAATGAACTGGGCTGTGTGCCAATGAGATAAATGGGTTGTGTGCCAATGGAATGAACTGGGCTGTGTGCCAATGAGATAAATGGGTTGTGTGCCAATGGAATGAACTGGGCTGTGTGCCAATGAGATAAATGGGTTGTGTGCCAATGGAATGAACTGGGCTGTGTGCCAATGAGATAAATGGGTTGTGTGCCAATGGAATGAACTGGGCTGTGTGCCAATGAGATAAATGGGTTGTGTGCCAATGGAATGAACTGGGCTGTGTGCCAATGAGATAAATGGGTTGTGTGCCAATGGAATGAACTGGGCTGTGTGCCAATGAGATAAATGGGTTGTGTGCCAATGGAATGAACTGGGCTGTGTGCCAATGAGATAAATGGGTTGTGTGCCAATGGAATGAACTGGGCTGTGTGCCAATGAGATAAATGGGTTGTGTGCCAATGGAATGAACTGGGCTGTGTGCCAATGAGATAAATGGGTTGTGTGCCAATGGAATGAACTGGGCTGTGTGCCAATGAGATGAAATGGGCTGTGTGCCGATGAAGTGAAATAAGCTATGAAGGCATCTGAAAACAAAGAGTTCAATTCAAATGCATCAGTCCAAATATATACATCAGATGCAGATACAAGCAAAGGCTACATGAAGTGGGTGCATGTAAATACAGTGTACAAGTGGGGTGTGTGTCAGATGTGCTCTACACAAGTAGTCTATCGATGCAGTAGAAATCAGCATGTCATCAGAAGTATGATAAATGCCAGAAAACTGAAGGGTACCTGAACACCCGCGACAGACAACTGTGCCTCCCTACGCAGGACCATGCCTTCGAGTGTGGCCACCAGTCCGACCACCTCCTCCATGTACCCTCGAGATGGCTGCAAAAATGAGCTCATAATCATCAGTGAACAGAAGAGTGTCTAAGCATCTGAATGATGAATGAAAAAAGTGGAGTATACCGGCGGTGAGTCCGGATCAATGGCGTATCGATCACTGGGCATCGGAGGCTCTAGTGGAATCGGAGTCGGAAAGCTAGCCCCATACTGCCATGCCATCAACTCAGTAGGCATATCTGGCCATCCGGGATGAGGATGAGTCGATGGAGCCGGAGGAACCGGTCTACTCCCACCTCTAGATGTACCGGCCCTGCTAGTAGAAGGGGCGTCTGCAGCCCGAGCCCGAGCCTGGCCCGAGGATGATATACCGGCAGGCCTCATCATCGGGATATGAGCTCCCGTCAATGGAGGCATCAAATATATGTGACGGTAAGTGGCGTAGTCCCCCTCCTCAATGTGTAGTAAAGCATCACTACCCAGCATGGCGCCGACTACCTCCGAATAAGAGAGCCTGTCAGCAGTCCGCATACTGGCTGGGGGTACTGCGGGAAGATCCTGAGAAAGATACACCCATACCTGGCGTAGAAAGCGCTCCCCCAGGAACCACACCCTGCCAACCGGCCCTTCGAGTAGGACCCTATACTGGGAGATGTCCGACGCCCCGGTATACTGAAGTCGGAGACCATCACCCAGGGGCGCCCAAGGCTGCCATGTGATCTGCGGATGATAAATGCATAAACCAATCAGAAATACAGAATATACAGAGCAAATCGAAGATGAAAATGAAAAGAACTGAAAGTTCTGAGGTACCTCTGAATGTCGCACAGTGTTAAAGTACTGTCGCAAGTAAAGGAGGGTCTCTCGATGCCTCGACCGGTGCGGGCCCTCGAACACCAATGAATAAGGGGTCATGGGAATCCCTGCCACCTCCAGCTCTGGGGCCAATGCTGGGAAGTATACATAAACCCATAGCTGAGAAAGGCAGTACAGAATGTAAGTACGAAATGCTGAGAGCAAAATACAGACTGTAAAAGTGCGCTGTGTGTGCAATGTACAAGTAATGAGAAGCAGAAATGTAAATCAAGGGGACAGAAAAGTACCTCCCAGGCTCTCCAGTAGCCGCCAAGTAAATCGCCCCGCCCGCGGGAGGTCGCGCTCATATAAAAGTAAAGGGTAGCCAGGCCGGCGCCGCCCCAATCATATCAATGGACCTGTGATAGGTGAACCAGAGCACTCAGCAAGTATAGCCCGACTGTGTTCCCTCTGTCGGCGAACAGGGTAGTCCCGAAGAGGAACATAAGGAAACCACGGGCATACTGCTCTGTCTCCTCGGGACTCTCAGGCACCATCTCCGCCCGCCGAAAATGGGAAGAGAACCAAGTGTATCGGACTCTCCCGGAAACCCTGTCAACAAGCGGGCGAGCCCCCAATAGGTACATCCAGGCGGCCTCCCACTCGCCCATATCCTCATCATAAGGGATGGACCAACCTCCGACGTCTAAACCAGTCAATACAGCGAAGTCAAAAGGGGTCATGGTCATATCCACGGTAGCAGAGAAATGAAAGGAGTTAGTGGTGTCCCACCATCTCTCTACCAAGGCCGCCATCAGCGTCCTCCTGGCAGGACAACGTGACAACCCGACGCAGAAGGGCCCAAACCCTGCCAAGTCCACTAAGTCTCGGACGCCCTCCGGGAGCTCAGCATACCAGTCCCGCGCGATGGTGGAACCATACCCCCGCACACTGCGGGAACCAACCTGCATTCAGAATGAATACATGTGTCAATAATGAAATGAAAGGGCTGTGTGCCAATGAGATTGAACTGGGCTGTGTGCCAATGAAATGAATGGGTTGTGTGCCAATGAGATAAAATGGGCTGTGTGCCAATGAGATGAACTAGGCTGTGTGCCGATAAAATGAAATAGGTTGTATACCGATGAAGTAAAATAAGCTACATGCAAAATCTATCTGGACTGCGTGTTCAGAAAATTTAAAGTTTGGGCTGCGTTTTCAACTTTCAGTTAAATTGTGGGCTGCGTGTTCACTATCTACCTGGGCTGCGTGTTCAGAGAATTTTGAATTTTGGGCTGCGTGTTCAACTTTCAGTTAAATTGTGGGTTGCGTGTTCACTAATTAATCTGGGCTGCGCGTTCAGAAAATTTGAAGTTTGGGCTGCGTGTTCAACTTGCAGTTAAATTGTGGGCTGCGTGTTCACTATTAATCTGGGCTGCGTGTTCAAAAAATTTGAATTTTGGGCTGCGTGTTCAACTTTCAGTTAAATTGTGGGCTGCGTGTTCACTATCTACCTGGGCTGCATGTTCAAAAAATTTGAATTTTGGGCTGCGTGTTCAACTTTCAGTTAAATTGTGGGCTGCGTGTTCACTATCTACCTGGGCTGCATGTTCAAAAAATTTGAATTTTGGGCTGCGTGTTCAACTTTCAGTTAAATTGTGGGCTGCGTGTTCACTATCTACCTGGGCTGCATGTTCAGAAAATTTGAAATTTGGGCTGCGTGTTCAACTTTCAATAAATTGTGGGCTGCGTGTTCACTATCTACCTGGGCTGCATGTTCAGAAAATTTGAAATTTGGGCTGCGTGTTCAACTTTCAATAAATTGTGGGCTGCGTGTTCACTATCTAATCTGGTCTGCGTGTTCAGAAAATTTGAAGTTTGGGCTGCGTGTTCAACTTTCAGTTAAATTGTGGGCTGCGTGTTCACTAATTATCTGGGCTGCGTGTTCAACTTTCAGTTAAATTGTGGGCTGCGTGTTCACTAATTATCTGGGCTGCGTGTTCAACTTTCAGTTAAATTGTGGGCTGCGTGTTCACTAATTATCTGGGCTGCGTGTTCAACTTTCAGTTAAATTGTGGGCTGCGTGTTCACTAATTATCTGGGCTGCGTGTTCAACTTTCAGTTAAATTGTGGGCTGCGTGTTCACTAATTATCTGGGCTGCGTGTTCAACTTTCAGTTAAATTGTGGGCTGCGTGTTCACTAATTATCTGGGCTGCGTGTTCAACTTTCAGTTAAATTGTGGGCTGCGTGTTCACTAATTATCTGGGCTGCGTGTTCAACTTTCAGTTAAATTGTGGGCTGCGTGTTCACTAATTATCTGGGCTGCGTGTTCAACTTTCAGTTAAATTGTGGGCTGCGTGTTCACTAATTATCTGGGCTGCGTGTTCAACTTTCAGTTAAATTGTGGGCTGCGTGTTCACTAATTATCTGGGCTGCGTGTTCAACTTTCAGTTAAATTGTGGGCTGCGTGTTCACTATCTAATATGGGCTGTGTGTTCAGAAAATTTAAAGTGTGGGCTGTGTGTTCACTTTTGAATTCGGGCTGTGTGTTCAACAAATCAGTGTTTGAGCCGTGTGTTCTAATGTGGGCTGTGTGTTTGCAATTAATTGATGAGCCGAGTGTTCAGAATTCGAATGTTTAAACTACATGTTCAAGATGTAAGCAAGGTACTATGTCATAAGCTAAGCTGCGTGTTCAAGCATGGCAAAGGTGCGAAATGTAAAATACAGAAGATGAGGCAAATACCTCTCGGGCCTCGTGAGAGAGATGCTGCTCCGGCTCTCTGAGAAGCAGATCCACGG